CATTAAAATGGAGTTGGTCCCCCCCTTTGCAGCTAGAACAGCTTCCACCCTGGGAGGCTTTCTACAAGATTTTGAAGTATGGGAATTTTTGCCCAGTCATCCAGAAGAGCATTTGTGAAATTAGATACTGATGTTGCACGAGAGGGCCTGGCTCACAGTCTCTGTTCATCCCAAAGGTGTTCAGTGGGGTTGAGGTTAGGGCTCTGTGTGGACCAGTCAAGTTCTTCCACACCAAACTCATCCAATGATGCCTTTATAGACCTTGCTTTGTGCACTGGGGCACAATCATGCTGAATCGGAAAAGGGCCTTTCCCAAATTGTTCCCACGAAGGCTGAAGCATGCCTGGAAATTACACTTATTCTTGTTGTTATACTGTGTTCAGCTATATGCTGTATAGCTTTATATACTCTTGTTGACACTGCTATGTATGTTTTTTCTGAAGTCGTAGACATGGAAAATTGTGCATGCACCACTTTCTGCACCAAGTATTAATTTTCTGTGTAGACACATTAGTTAAAGGATGGGTGCAAACACTTGTAGTTTTAGTTTTGTGCAGGTTAGATAGAGTAGAATCTTTTTATTACTGCTTAGGTGAGAATTTAATGTCAGGTCTGTTATTTGGTTTTGTTGTTTTCGGTTGATTTCTTTTCTTTACTGCCATCCACATGCAGAATTTTGTGGTCACAGCAGTGTAATGTAATACTTTTATACTTGTACATAAACTTTGACTTTAGACCAAAATCCTTCTGCTCTGAGTGACTTTGCTTAAACTTATTTTATTGAAAGAAACAATACAATATTCCAATTTGTTACTAATGAATAATAATTATGCCTCCAAAACTTTTTTCAGTAGTGATTGTTTCTGTAATGACAATTTCAGCTAATTTTGAGCATAACTCAAAAACACTAGCCAGTACATGACTAGTTAATACAGCTTTAAACTGTTGCACACATTAAAATCAAAATATATTTCTATTAAATATACAAAAAACATTTTTTAATTGCAGAAAATATCTGTTTCTGTAGTGACATAACCTAATGTTGCACACTGGCTTTCAGATTTTGGGACACATTTACTTCCAGATAATGAGATCTGCTCACCATGTGGCCATGAGGTACAGGGATGCAGTCTCACTTCCTGCTCTAAAATGCCCTATGGACATGAAAGTCCCTATTGACTAAAGAACTCAGTTTCAGTAATGACATGAAAACGTGGGAAGTTTTTTCATTTTTTTATTTTAACTTCTGATAATCTAAATCTTTGAACTTCACTTTGAAAGAAACCAAAAAGATCTTTAAAAAATAAAGACAATGAAAAAGATACCAAAAAAAAAAATAATAATAAATTAAAAATTCAGTTTTCACAAGTTGAAATTTAGAGGGTTTGGGACAGGCACTTCACCCATGTCAGTCACTATCATTTCTGACACCGCTGTTGTGTCCAACCAACTTAATAATATTCCTACATTACAGAGTTAACCTGCACTGGCACATGCCTTTAAATTTATTTAATCTGAAAATACCCACACATATTTTAGAAATAATTCTACATTTGACCCATGCCTCCAGTATGCCCCCAGTGTTTATTTTTTCTTTTGAAATCTGCAAATTGTCACAATTACAGGCCATAATGTTAATAATGCTATATTATGTAATCACTTTAATCTATGGTATTTCAAGGGGACAATAAAGTTATGCTTTATGTGGAGTACTTTGGACTGGCATGTCATTTCAGGAAATATATATTTGAAGTCCATAAAAAGAAAAACCTTTCTCCTTTCTATGAAGCTGCTTTGTGACAAACTATGCTGGAAAAATGCTATAAATGCTAAAAAGCAAATGAGCTCATCAGTCTGTTTAGAGTTGTATCATTGTATTGCCACAGTGAAAATAAATAGTTTCCAATTCATTTAAAAGCTTGATTCATGCAAATATTTTTACAAGTAGCCAATATAAAGGTGCTTCTGAAGTGAGCAAAAATATGCAAATTCTCATATTCTGCTCCACACACACACACACACACACACACACACACACATTATATATATATATAGATATATATATATATATATATATATATATATATATATAAAACAGGGAAAAGGGGATACAAAATTATGCAGAGAAATAGATGAACTACAATCTGCAATTGTAGGACAACAAAGTGCACCACAAAAGCTGATTAGTAAGTGAAGTGGTGGCAGAGCAATATATCCACATCTGAAGGTCAGGTTGTTGAAGACCTTTGTGATAATCTCCCAGTCTTCCACCGCTCTTTTTTATTTATGATGGATTGTTCCTTTTCATCTCATCTGCAAACATCAGAATAGCTACAGACTCTTTGGTTTCAGACATAGCTTTTTCCACTTGGCATGCTATAGCAAGCAGTGAACTTTTCAGAGGTGGGGGAGCCCTATTTTCTCCATGGGTGTCAACAATGTGGGGGCAATATTGTTAAATTTATGTAGTAATACATAGAGTCCTCAGCAGTATAAAATAAAAATGTGCTTAAAACTGCAAGCCTGCTCCTGTCTTAATTGCTTTCTGTTAATTTCCATCTCTGTTTTTTAGTTTTCCTTGTCAGTTTTGGCATCAAAATATCAACTGTTGAAGTGACGGAGCTGCATTAACTAGCTAAAGGGTCAGCTTCTTTTGCATCGGCTTGTCAGATAAAACAGCTTGATAAACTCACCCATCTTATAAAGAAAGGAGGTATTATGTGTCTCGTGTTTCTTGTCTTTTTTGAAATCTGGACTTTGTTTTGTGGCAGACATTTTTTTCCTGTCCTAGTCTCCCACTCTTGAAGTCACCTTTTACACTGGCAGTTTAAAGAACAAAGAGGTCCAAATCAAGGGCCAGAACGTTTTTTGTCCATGGATTGGAAAATTGAAACTATGTTCATGTATATTTGTGGTTTGTGGGTTTGTGTGTTATTTTCTGACGCATCACATTGCATTTTATCTGTAGCATATGCATATTATCTAAAGCAGTAGTTCTCAACCTGGTCCCCCAGATGGACCACATTTTCGTTCCAACCTAACTCACAACAGAATAGAGCAAAAATGTAGACCTTCTGGGGGGGTCCTGAGGACCAGGCTGGGAATCACTGATCTATAGCATACATTAAATTGATTTATACATCCCACTGAATTTTTGTGGACCACCATTCACCCTGTTCTGTACTGTGATTTGACAGGTGAAAAATTCAGTTTATCTGTGAATTAATTATGATGTTTCATGTTATAAGTTGGAGACAAACAGGGACCATCTTGTTTACAAGACCACACTTTGCGAGATCATGTGAGATGATTTTCTGGGGGCATTACACATATCTTTTTCACAAAAGTCAAAACACAGACAGATTTAGGAACATACAAGCAACCACACATTACTACATTACCTTGACAATGCTAAAACAATGTCTATTCAATGCTAAGAACCAAACAACCCCAAAACAAAACTAACTTGATAATTGGAACATGCAGCTCAGAAAACACAGTTGTACACACTCGTGTACTGCAAGACATCATGAAAAAACAATGAAAGCAACATATCATGTATATACAAACTAAAGTAGACACAAGTAAAGGCAATAATGAAAAGGTGGGATGAAGAAGGGGACAAAGACAGAGCCTAGGCACAATGGAGCCACAATTTTAATAATTAACAATAATTAGCAGTTTAAATCACAGTATTAATCTTATTGAACCAAAAAAATATATGCATTTTAAAAATTGGGTAGACCAGAACTAATGTAATTCTAAAGTAATTCTGTTCCCTTAGAGGGCACTAGTTATGTCTTTTCTAACAAAAACAGTTCAAAACCTGACCGTTTTACCCTGTCTTCGTCTTACATATAGATCTAGTGTTAAACGACCAACTCCGTAAAAACCATTGAACACATACAGTAATTAAACAGGTGTTTAGACTTTCCAAAACTTATTCTCTTCCTCATAGGCCTATTTAAAGATGTGAAGCTATTTAATCAAGCTGGTTTTGTAGGCTTAGAAAGAACCCATACAATCTGATAGTGATGAGAAAAAAATAGTAATTTAGTTTAATGGTTAACTGGCTATAGCTTTTTTATTGTTGTATCATCCTTCAAAAGGAGCCAGGTGAGGATTTTTATTCCTTCTTCTTCCTTTTAACCCTTCCAGACACAGACATAATTTTTTTCAGATTTTATCTGACTTGAGATTAGTAGTTCACAAACCATCAAACAAAAACTAATTTCGGATCAGATTAAATAGACTCAGGATCAAATGCTCTTTCTCAGGTAGTTTCTCTTGCTAATCACTGTAGCCTACATATTGTGGTGCTGGCTATATGATGTATATCTTCACTTTGTAGTCAGTTTATTTTATCATTTAATTTATGTTTGTTTTGTGTCATAAAACAATTATTGGTTAGGCTGATATACAACCCCTTGTTCCACCATTTCCTTGCTACATCTAAACTCATTAAATGAGATCCACCAGTATTTGTAAATGTTATTCCATACCGATACCTTCTAATTTGTGGTGCTCTATGAAAAACACATAAAATTATGAATGTGCAATGTGTGCTGCCAAGTCCTTATTTTAAAACAAATGAAAATGGTGTGCTACACAACCTTGAGCATTAACTTCAATCTGTGACTTATTTTACATATAGCACCACATCACACCAAAACACAAATCTATATACTGCTTCATTTTATTATTACTATTTTACATTTTGTTACATGTTGTATATAATAAAAATATAGGCAATGGCTTTTGAACCCCTGGATGACTTTCCCAGCTTTCCTTTGTACTTATGTACATTTTTTACCCTTCCCTAAAATCATTTCATTCTTAAAATGAATACTAATTATAGTAAGATGTCAAAATAGACAGTTTCTCACAGTGACCTATGTGATTTCTCTGGAAGAACAGTAGACCTGGTGAAGAAGTGAGCTAAATCGTATCATAATCTTTGTGTCTTAAACATCGCTCAGTATAGACTGAGAATGTCTTACCTTCACAAGAGCAGCACAGTGACACAGAGACAGCAGTAGCACAAGTCGTCCCATGATACAACCAAGTAAAAAGGTCCATAAAGATTAACAGTGTTCTCTACTGACAGCTCCACGCCGGTCCCCTACAGCTCCACTTGTGGTTACAGACGTTTTGCCCTGTTAGATAAGTTCTTAGTTTGTCTTTAGTTTCTCCTTTGAACTCTACCTCTCTGTGTTCCTCCCCCTAAGGAAGATTCATAACCTGTTTTAATGGCACTTCTCTTTTTTCTGTTGCTGGGAATAGCACTTCAACCTTTGCCCTCCCTTTATTATACTTCCCTATTGTGAAACTCCGCCCTTATATTGTTACTCTGTGACTCACGTCTTAACGCTGCCTTATCTCAATCTTCTATTACTTCTATTTTTTTGTTGTACACATTTATCTCTTTAGCTCTTTTACCCCTTTCACACAAACTATTTTTGTGTTGTATGATCTCTTTTCAGTGTTGCAGTTATACAGCACAGTCCAGCCATATGTTTTAGACACTTCAATTTGCCTTTTGACAGATGTAATGCTGCAAGCATATTTGCATTATGCATAAAAAATGTATCAGCATAACCATTAGCTATTTTTGAATGTGTTCAATCCATAAGTAAACAGGCCAGTATCAGGGAAGAGTTGCAAAAGAGAGAAACAAATGCATGTTTCAGTGCACTTCTATCAAGAATGTTTGACCAAAAAAAAATAAGTAACAGATTAATCATAACAATACCTAAACTATGCCGTACTGACTATGTATATGCACCATCAAGCTGAAGCCACAACACAGTCATTGTTTCCTTTCTGCAGCACAGTTCCAAAAAAAGGAACCCACAGGCTGATTTGTTTGCTTGTGTAAACAAAACCAAACATCAGAAGAGATGGTTATCTGTTAAATATCTGTAGTTAAAGTGTTGGTTGGCTGCATGTAATAGTGTTAATTTAAAAAAAATGTAAGTGGTGAGACATCCCTGTCTACTTTGATATCTGCCATTGTTTTCTATCAACATACATTCTAAAGCATGAAAAGTACATTTTTCTCATATTAATGATAATGTTACGATCCTTTACACTGTATTACATACAGGCAACAGCTAAATAATCAAAATACCTATATAATTGGGGTTACAAAGTATATTAAAGCAGATGGCTCAAAACCCAGTTTTTTTCATATATAAGAAAGCAAAGCAGTGTTCTACTTAGTGTCACATACACAATGTCTGCCTCAATGAGTCTCTTTTAACATGAACATTTTTACTCATCTACAAGCCACAATTAGTCACTGACAATACATGACACTGATGCCAGAGACTGAAGTTCAAAAAAGTTGAGATTGTGTTTTTCACTACCATCTAACAAACACCAAAAACACCTGAGTTGCCTGTTTATTAGGTACACCCAGGGGTGGACTGAGTGATTCTGGGGCTCTAGGCAAAAGACAGAAATAGGGCCTCCTGAATGCACATACTTAAATTATTGGAGCAACTGTCTATATTGCAAAATGTGATACCTTGTGATATCTTGGCAGGTGAAATCATCTTATTTCTAGTCGATATTTCTAACATTTTACATTTTGAGAGTAATTTATTAAGTGAAATTATCCCACTATATTGCCAGATCATTTTGTCTTTTTTTAAGATATAATGCCTGAAACAAGTAACTATCTGCCAATATAGAAAGAAAATTTGGTACAGAGTAAGGTAGAAGTAAAGTAAGTAATTAATAACTTGAATAGATTACTTTCATGATTAATTATCTTACCACTGAAGCAAGCTATACTAATATTAACACTACCATTATGTACAGTCTGCTGAGCTTGTGCTGCACTCTGCTTTGATTGAAAAAATGAAGTTAGGTTTGGGAGTGTAGCGACAAATTGTCTTTTTCATACTAGTCTGTGTTTACACAGTTGTGTCATCACATAACAATAAGGAATAGTCCATTATAATCATAATAATAATTGTTAGACATGCAAGTAATAGCTTTTTTTGTAATTGCTTATATCTTTTGGAACATGCACAATTTTCTATTTTTGTTTGTCCCTATATAAACAACATATGTATGATTTTTTTTTTCTAATAAGCTGTCACAGTCAACTAGATTTTTATTTTTTTATGTACCTTTATGTACCATCTTGGCCAAGTTGGTCCAGAGTAAAACTTTTGTCATGATCGATGAGATCTAACCTAGATCTGTAGGAAACTTGCTCCTGATTCAAGCTTTACCTATGGCAGCAAACTATAACACTCAAATTAGATGTCATGTTCAGATGATAACTTACAGATTTCAAACTGTGCTGGACTATTGTTTTAATGAACTAGATTAATGAATATATGTGTTAGAAAATGTAATTTTTACCCTATTAACCCTTTAAACTGCAGGTTAATAGCTATTAAATTTTTTGGTTTAATCTGTGCGTGGAAAACTTAAACACAACATTATTTGCATAACTGTTTATAGAGAAAAATAGAGTGAAATAGAATGTTCCACAAAGCAGGCTTCTCTACTGTGCAACTGGGATCCTGTTAAGCTATTGGCAGTGCTTTCTGTTAAGAACTTTTGAAGAATTTATTAAATCTTTTTTCTTCCTTTATAGGATTAGCAATACACCCAGCTAAATATGACAGTATTTGTTTGGAGCTTCTCATTTGTTTTTTGTTCTTTTTTGCCATGTAGCCAGCACAATAGGACAAAAATATTTATATGGGTCAACCACTGGCTTAATGATGATGATATTGAGCTCATGTTGGCTAAGGGTCTAATAAGAACTGCATGTACTGACAACAGTGACTAAATCTGTACAACTGTAATGGGTAACAGTTTGCAGGGAAATAAGATGCTTGTTTGTAATAATGATTGTGCACATTTTTTTATTTTCCTTAGCTGGCTGTCTTATATGATCTTAGGACCATAGCATTAGCATTGGCCATTTCTCTGTTTTCATAAATATCTGTATTTTCATAGATATCTGTATTTTCATAGACATCTGGATTTTCATAGACATCTGGATTTTCATATACATGCTCTTGGACGAAATCCTCTATGGGCTGCAGAGAATCCATGATGCACTGATGCAGGAACACATACTGAGACTAAGGTAGAAAGTGATGGAGAACAGTGTTACAGAAGCATATGGGCAAGACCAAACTTTACTGCAGACAAGGGGCTCACTATGTGTGCATTTCATATAATGTGCATATGGCTACTGCTAATGTCTCCTCATTGTTTGGTACTGATAACCGACTGTACCTCAGTCTGCACCATGTGAGGCCGGCTGAGTCTCATGTGATGTACACAGGCTGCAACACTGACTGCTTCCTCATTCTCTAGTTGCTGCAGTAACATATCCAGGGCGATCAGAGTACCCGTCCTGTCCACTCCAGCACTGCAGACACACACCCCGACACAAGATGATTACACTATTATACCATATAACTGCGGTTGTATTGTTTGTGTGCAGCGCACTACAGTAGGTTGTGATGTGTTTACCTATAGTATACTGGAGGTGCTGTAAAAGTGGAGTCTTCACTGGCAATGTACTATGATAAAATGTGAGGTGCTTACCTGCAGTGTACTACTGAAGGTCCTGTGAATGAGAAGCTCTCTTTATGCCTGCAGACAATCCCACAGAACTGGATCAACTCATTTATTCTCCTGGGAACTCCACCATTGGGCCACGCTGTGAAATGGAGGTGTTTCACTCTTCGCTCGTCAGAGGTGACCAACTACACACACACACACACACACACACACACACACACACAATTACACAGAAAGTTGGAAGATTTTTTAGAAAAAGTAACTATTCAATATTTAAATATCATGTTTTGAAATTAAATGTTTTGTCTTTCTTGAATTGAAAATAAGGCCATACCTATTAATATTTCTATTTCTTAGAACATTTTTAGGCAATTCTCTAGTCCAAATTAATGAAGTGTACATAAATGATAGGCTTTATTTTGTAGTGCTTTAAAGTTTTGAACCTACATTCCTCACTACAAATTCTGCAGAATCCAGCTTTTCTCTTTTTTCTCTGATTTGACAGTGACCAGCAGATTGCCATATGTACAGAGAGTGCAGTCCAGGGGCCAGTACTGTTTACACATAACCTGCAGAGAAAGAGCAGGGACTAAAGAATACTGTAGCAGTCAAAAATAATACTTCATAGATCCATATAATTTATATACATAATTATTGAATGCCTGAGGAACTACAAGAGCATTTATGTATCTACAAATATCATTTCCAGAAAAGTTGGGACATTTTGTGAAATGCAATAAAAACAAGTACGTGTGATTTATTAATTCTCTTGAACCTTTATTTAACTGACAAAAGTACAAAGAAATTACTTTTAATGTTTTGGCTGATGAACTTGATTGTATTTTGTAAATATAAACACATTTTGAATTTGATGCCTGCAACACACTCAAAGTTGGGACAGAGGCAAAATAAGAGTGAAAGAAGATTCAAGTTACACTGTTTTGAAACATTCCACAAAGAGCAGGTGAATTCCACAATAAGCAGGTGAGAGCATCATGACTGGGTACAAAAAATATATATAAATCTCAGTCCGTGTAGGGCAAGGCCGGAAACCACTGTTGAATGTTTGTGACCTTCAAGCTCTCTGATTGCAACTGCATGAGAAACCATCATGCTACTGTGTTAAATATAACCACATGGGCTTAGGAGTATGGAAAACCGTTGTCACTCAACAAAATCAAGAAATGCAGCTTGAAATTATTATGCAAGAAAAAAGCTGTACATTAATTCTATGTAGAAATGCTGCCGAGTTCTCTAGGCCTGAGCTCATCTCAGATGTGTGTTGTGGTTAGATGAGTCCATGTTTCATCTTGTTTTTGGGGAAAACAGAGGTTGAGTTCTCTGAGGCAAAAACAAAAGGGATCATTCAGACTTTCATCAGCGAAAGGTGCAAAAGCCAACATCTGTCATAGTATTGGGGTGCATAAGTGCCCACGGCATGGGTGACTTGCACATGTATGAAAGTACCATTGACATGGAGGCGTATATTGTGATTTTAGAGAGACATATACTGCCATCAGGACGACATCTTTTCCCAGGACGTCCCTCGTTGTTTCAGTAAGAAATGCCAGGCCTCACTCTGCACATGCTACAACAGTGTGGCTTCATAGACACAGGGTGCATGTGTTTGACTGGCCTGCCTGCAGCCCAGATCTGTCTTCTATTGAAAATGTAAGCTGCATCATGAAGAAGAGAATCAGACAATAACGACCAGACTGTTGAGTAGCTGAGGTCTTGTATGTATTCTTTGTACTTTTGTCAGTTAAACAAATGTTCTAGAGAATTAACAAATCACAGATTCCTGTTTTTATTGCTTTTTACAAAATGTCCAAATGGATTTACACATTATCAATCCCTTACACACAGTTACAAATTATCAATCCCTTGTTCTGTATTAACTCGGCAACATTGTAAATGAGGGTCAACCTCAATGTTCTCTGATATTAAATAAAGGTTGATTGATTCATTGATTGATTCATTGATTTGGGTTTGTACATTAAAGTGGTGTTTGTACATGGTGTTTTTGCTCTGTATTCTCACAAACATACCTTTCCACTCTCCATACAGTTGATCAGCATGACAATGGCCTGAGACTTCTGCTCCCACACCATTTTCCAGAAATCAGAGACAGTGGAGGCAAGAGGACCCTGAGCAGCTATGTAGTGCTTTCTGGTACTAGCATATCCCTAACGCACACACACATATGTATCATGAAACATTCACTACAAAACATTGTGCTCCTGAGGGGCGCAACCATTTGAGTTTTGGCCCCATCATTTGAAGACTGTGAATTCATTCCCCAGTGATGCCACAGCCGTCCGTGACTGGGGGACCAAGATAGCAAAATTGGCCTCGCCCTCTCTAGGTGGGTAGGATGCCACCTAATGCAGTATCTGTTAAAACAATTAGCAATTAGTATTTTCTTCTAAGTGCCTTCAGCTGTCCTATGACTTTGCACTAGAGGCCAGTTAAACAGATTATAGGTGTGGAGCTATACATGTCTCAGAGGCAGCACATGCTAGCCTTCACAAATTTCAGCATTGTGTGTGATGGGGGAATCTAGCTAGCAAGTAAAATTGACCAGAGAATGTTTATATTGCTCAAATGTTCTTCTTTGATAGCTCAGGAGACTTAATGGTGATTCTTCTAAAATTCCTTAGACAGGAAGTAGATGTGACATATAGAAGAGATGAGAGATGAGATTTCAGTTGAAGATAATTCTGAGCACAATGTGTAAATTTACTGAGATCTCTACTAAAACTCAAGATGAGACTTAAGCAAAAGTCTCACTTTCTCTTTCTGTTTTAAATCATTGTTGTCCAAGAGAAACAACTGAGATATTGAGGAGATGTCTTTTTAATTGTTGTTTCCAAAGAGTGGCCACTAAAATTAGGGAGAATATAAAATCATACAATAAAAATCTATGATATACAAATTGTGTTTGACAAAGACTTACTGGGATGTAGCTAGCATTGATGTAATCAGATCCATTTTGCACAGTGAGCTTTACACGAGATGAATCATCTACAGGGAGTAAGAATGAAGGAGGAAGAGAGGAAAAAAAAGTTGGAATTAACAAAAAATACTTTATCTTGTTTCTTAATTGTTTTTTTTTTTGTATTCTGTATATGTTTATGTGTGTGTGTGTGTGTACATGTGTTTGATTAACACTCACAGGCCAATACACTGGGGAATCGGTTCTTGCTCTTGTTTTCAGGTAGGAGAGCAGCTGTATGGCTCTGCATAGCACCCACTACACTTAACTCCTGTAAGCAACAGCGACAGCAACAACATAACAATAAACAGTATCACTATCTTAAAATGTGAGCTTGTTGTGTCTACAATGAAAGAAAGGTGATATTTTTATTTAACATTCATGTAGCACAGCAATGATCTTGCGCAACACAAGAATGAAGCACATTAGAGAAAGAAGTAGTATTAACACTACAGAAGAGCACATGCAAAAGAAATTTATTTGCATATATTTTCAAAATATGTTTGTTCCATATATGTAAGTTCCATATATGTTTCACATATGTGTAAATATAAAAAAAGAAGACTATTATATACATTATACTTTATCTAAAATGTGAATATTATAGCGACTGCCATAGGGTGCACTGCCTCTGGTCAGTGTAGAAACTTTGTTATACAAATGGACATTTGAAGTAATTCAACAGGTTCCAGTAAAAGGGACTTACTGTTGTTGTTTGTTGTTGTTGTTGTATGTTACTTTAAGTTGTGGGTATGTGTTACTTGTGTTATTCTGTTTAGGGATGTGGGTTTAGTTAGATGGTTTAAGTGACTACCACTGAGTGGAGTCCTATGGCTAAAAGTGACCTCCCTGCTATCCCGCCTGATTGTTAAGTGGGCTTTCTCCCTTGTTAATTTAATAAAAACAATTTTCAAGCATAAATTATGGCTTAATTTCACTCTTCTTCACCATGCCATCACAATATGTTTCAATATACTGATGTCATGATATATTATATGCATATATTGGCATGTACTTAAATATTAAAAATGGCATAGTTAAATATATATAGCACATAAATTTTCTTTTTATGATGAGAAAATTTATATACTTACAATTTTATCCATTTGGCAGAAATGATTTCTAAAATAATTTCTCTCAAGCATAGAGGAAACTTTCCATGTGGAAAGTTTGTTCTGATTGTTGTTCAGCATACTAAGATATAATTTCCATTTGCCTTGTGAAGGTTTGTACCATACAAATACATACAATAAAAAGTTATGATATACTAATTGTGTTTGATAAAAACAAATGCACACACACACACACACACACACACACACACACACACACACCCCAACACATACACTGTAACTGTACCTCAAATTCCATTTTGAAACCATGGTTCTCATCACGACTCATGGAGTTGAAGTGTTTTGGAAACTCTTTTAGGGAAACTGGCCTGAAAAAAATGAAATAGTTTAATAATAGGTAATCCAACAAAATAATGGAAGACATATACATTAAATAACTAGTGTACAGCTTCATACTTACTTGTATTTGCCACTTGATAGTTTGGGCTTTACAGAGGATTTTGACTTTCTTAAGACACTGAAATACATACATTTTAGAAAATGTTGGTCAGTTTTTGATTTCTTGGAAAATGTCCTGAGATAATTAGCTTTAAACAACCTAAGACAACTGAGGTAAAAAATTACACATATGTTTTAATGTTATAATTATACAAAATTCTTCTCCATAATATAGCCTGTATTGGTGCTGGGGAGTTTGGGATGTCCCCTTTCCCTTTTTTTCTCTTAAATCTCCTTCTCTTCTCCTGCCTCCTCCTTTTTCACTTTTGTCTCATATGAGGCAGTAGGTATCAGATTGTGCCTGTTGTCTAATTTTTACTAATTCTACATTTTAAGAACGTGAAAAATCACCAGGTTTATATACACTGTGGCGGCGCTCTGAAGAAGAGTCAGGTGAAACCTTTTTCTCTTCTCAGACTTTAGCTCTTTATTAAGAACAGGTTGAAAATGAAAACATATCTGCACTTTGTTTACCACTAACCAACGACAGGCTTCACGCTACCAGTAAACACCACAATATATGTTCCTGGGTTCATTATCAGCAGTTGCACTGTATCATATTTTGTTGATGGTCAAATTTAGAATGGTAAAATAATAATTGTCATGTGATTAATTAATATGACTATGACGATTAAAGTAAACATGAACTAACAAAGGTAAAGTTCCGTTTTGATTTCAATTTAATTTCAAATGTATTTCATCAAATTTTCATTAGTAAAAGAAGTGGAATTATTGCAGATTTCTTTCTGTTAAGGAGGCCTGTGTGGCTGCAGGCATTAGAGTTAACTGTTCATGTCTGTAGCCACACAGGTCTCCTATTTGTAATATTCATCCAAGTTATAGAACTTCTTTAATAACTTACAGTTCTTTTACTTCTGATACTTAAGTTAAGTTAAATTTAAAAGCAAGTACAACTAATGATCGACTACCTTGCTCAAGTAATATTTTACCATGAGCATTTCTGCTTTTACTTAAGTACAGAAGTTGTGTACATTGTCCACCCTGCTCCTGGTTTACACGCAGAGGCTAGGAAACACACCCTGTCTGCATGTATTTCTCAGGTTTGGAAGCAATGCCTTTACTGGATTTGGGAGGCTTCTCTGCTTATACAAATGCAGTTAGTTGTTGACATAAATATGTCTGTATCTGTTTTAGTTATTAAAAATAATATTTAGAACTTTGACTAAATGTGTCCTCTTCCTACAGCCATCCATCTGCTTCAGGTTCTTGACTGATAAGGACTTATAGCTTGTCACAGGTACTTTTATTTATATTTATTTATAACTTATAGTGTTGCTATAATGTTAGTATATATTTCTTTACATATTTTACTACATCTTTTAGCACAAGATATTGCCAGCAAAAATATGCCGGCAAAAATATATTTTGCACAGTTCATCTGTGGGTGTGCACAGGTGATAGATTTAAAAGCTACAAACAACACCACTTACACTTAAATCAGGGTTAACAGTTACACAAGACAGGTGAACATACAAGTTGCTTATATCTGCTGCCTCAATAGCAAGCAAGTCTTTCAATTCAGCTGAAAAACGCTCCTCTTCATAAGGATCACGCCCAACATATTTTGTAATTTTCTGTTTATATTTTTCTCTTGTAATACTGTCAGAGCTGGTTTATGAGGAGCCTGGCCACTTCCTATTCCCCCCGTTATATCAAAAACAGGACTGCTGAACAGCAGAGTGCGCCCGCAAGGGAGTCCTCAATGAATGGGAGTAAATGGTGCTCAATAGCTAAAAACGAAAAGTTAAAATAATTTCTAATCATTTGCCCAGAACGTTTCTTTAATTTTATAAAGTAGAAGGATGTATTTCACCAAAACAAAGAAATCTTACCTATATGTTTCCTTTTTTCTACAGCAAATGACTTTTGGGCAGCAGAAGGTGGGCATTACTGCTAGAGCATGATGATTGATTGCTAGCGGAGCAGCTCATTGGCTGTTTGTGCTCACAGACGTCATGAACGTACATGAGGTGGCGTTTTAAACTCATATAACTCGAGTTTAAAAGATCTTAAAAATATAACAGCAGTGTTAAAATGTTTTATGCTATTCAGTGTTCAGGAAATTATATTCTTTTAAATTAAAAATGTTTAAGCATTTAAACACTATGATTTTGCTCAAATGCTCCATATCAACCCATTCATATTGGACTCACTCGGGAGCGCCCTCTAGCGTTTGAGAAAACCGGAAGACATTGCAGAGTGGTGATTCTTCTCTCTACAAGTTCTCTGATATTGTCTAAACTAGCACAGTATGGGTTTGCCTCCATCTTGTTCATTGTACTTTTCACTTCCTGCTCTCCATCCAGAATTTGCATGTCACTGAATCCATGTGACTACAGACAGTGTATTAGAGATTGAAGTCCATCTTTTTCCCTGCATAATTTGTTTACCCCTTTACTCAATTCATCAATGATCAGTGGTACAACAGCGCTTTAGGGCCACTGTTAATAAAAATAAAAAGTAGACTTCGGGAATAAAGTTGTACTATTTCGAGAATAAAGTCGTGAGAAAAAAAGTCTTACTATTTTGAGAAAAAAGCCGTATTATTTTGAGAAAAAGAGTCGTACTATTTCGAGAATAAAGTCGTGAGAAAAAAAGTCTTACTATTTTGAGAAAAAAGCCGTATTATTTTGAGAAAAAAAGTCGTACTATTTCGAGAAAAAAAGTCTTACTATTTCAAGGATAAAGTGGGATAACTGTAGGGGGCTGCCATAACACATTGGGGTCTCGGTTGCTGTTCTGGCGCCGGAGTTCTACTCACTCCTGTCTGCTTGTGGATTGATCATTTTGATTATCATTCTCACTGTCTGTGAAACTTCATGCCCTCTTTGAATGGCTCAGAGATGTAGCCACTGATAGCCATGTAGACGACCCTGTCTGTGATTCTCCTTCAACAAGACAGACAGACAGTTTCCTCTGAGTCCGTCTGGTTCTTTATTCTAAATAAACACAGTTTCCTGCTCAGCCGTTTCAGCTGGTTCTTATACTAACAGGCTGGTGCTGATGTGCCAGGAGAGACAGGGAGACTGAGTAGTTCATTATGGGTGAAATCGATAAGAAACTATAACTCCACCAACTCCTCAATGCCCCTTATTTAGACATGAGGAGATGCTGGCTTCCCTTTGAAAAGCCTTTGGCCACAATATTAGGACTTTTTTCTCAAAATAGTATGACTTTTTTTTCTCGAAATAGTATGATTTTTTCTCGAAATAGTATGACTTTTTTCTAGAAATAGTATGACATTTTTCGCGAAATATTATGAGATTTTTTTCTCGTTTTTTGACGGTAACCACATCTGCAGGATAGATTATACCTGTTTTCGTCAATTGGAGATAGAAAAGATCACAGACCTCCTAGCTGCACACAACACAGACAGAAATGGAGCCATGAGTTCTACTTTGTGTCTGGCACCGAGATATTTTTCTACAGGGTCATTCCAAAACCTGGTGGGAGTCTCTATTCAGGTACACAAGTCAGCTGTATTTAGAGCAATAAGAGCAGCTTCACCAGTGCTCAGGTTGTGTGTTATGCTAAACCTTAGTATAATAATAATAATAATAATAATAATAATAATTATTATTATTATTATATATTCAATCTTGAATTATTATTGAATGATTTACTTTACAATTACAACAACAACAACAACAACAATAATAATAATAATAATAATAATAGTCAATAATGTAAAAAAATATTATTATTAGTAGTAGTAGTAGTAGTAGTAGTTTTAGAATCAAAATAAAGAACAAATCTAATTATTCATTTGCAAAAACATATCTCCATTGTAATGAATTCTCATAAATCATGTTATTTTATTGGCCATTCCAGGTAATATCAATCAAACTGCGGTTGGGTTGTTTAGATTAACTCAACAAAATATAGATAATTTACAAAATTCAAACTTTATCGATTTTTTTTTTTTTTTTGGCAAAAGCAGATAACTCCAATGCCATGTAATGGAAACATTCCTTTTAAGTGCAATATTTAATATCCTTTAACATAAAACAAGTAGGTAAAGTGCTGAAAATTGCAACAAAACTAGTCCATTAATGGGCAATATAAACCATCTATAAGATCATACCCTGGAAAAATTCTAAGGCTGAATCTTGGCTCACAGTAGTAAAATTACACCATTACTGGGCCCATCTTGTCTGTATACATACATACATACATACGTACATCATCTAAACCGCTTATCCTTCTGGGTCGCGGTGGGGTGCTGGAGCCTATCCTTGTTTGTATACAAAGACAAGTAATTATTTTCGTTAATTAACTGTTGTTTTTCAATTCTAATTATCGTATGCTATATTGCTATCTTTGCTATACGTTTTGTCGTCCATTTGATTTTTGTCATGTGAAGAGGTGAGGAGAGCAGAGAAGAAGCAGGGACTCGCTAACCAATACTAAAAGTCAATAATACAAAAAAACACATTGCAGAGTTTCGTTTTCCATCGGTGGTGGTGGTGGTGGTGGTATCAGTGTTCACCGGTTACACAACACGTGAGATTAGTAAACTTAGTAAGGAGTTAACAGCTTTTATATTCAGATAAACCTCCACTGAAATTGTCCATGACCAGATCAGCACCTGAACCACAAAGTGTTAATCACAAAGTGGAAAGGCAAACAAAAGGAAACAAACTGCTTATGAATTTACTTATTGTCTACAAGTGAGCTAGCAGCTAGTGAAGTTACTTTCAGCAAGCTGAGCCCAGGCAGCATAGTAATTCAACATGCAAAATCCCTTTTCCTGAGACAGTGTTAAGCATGTGTAATCTGAGTGTGTAACACACACCTGAAAAGCTCTGGCTGGCAACACCATATAAAAATACCAATACAAAGGATGAGAATGACCAAGAGTAGGAACACCAGAACACCTGCTATGACTCCTGGAAAAATATAAATTTTGAGCTGAATTAGTTATTTGATAGTTTGGATTTATAAAATGTATATGTTCGTTTTTCTTATATTATATACTGACTCATTAAAACTTTTGCCATTGATGTTGACCAGCACAGACGTCCTCTCTCCAACGGGAGGACCCCAAACCAGAAATAGACCATAGCCTCCAGATGCATATTCACAGTGCAGATCAGTTTCAGTAGCTGGAACTGGGAACAGAGTGACATACAAGGAAGTGCCATATTAAAGACAGAGCCCTAATAAAATTATACAGAATGCATTTCTTGTTGTTGACTTTGTTCTGTTCTAATGTTAACATAGTTTCATTGCAGTCTTTTATAGAGACATGGTTAGCATTAGAGGGACTAGAGAGAGATCAAGTATTAACAATATTAACAAAAGATGTGTAGCAGAAGTAAACTGTCCCAGCATGATAATTGACATAAAGCAAAAAAAAATTCACTGGTTTGATTTCATGTTTTTCTTGAACACTTATTTTATTTTAGCATTTCTTGGGTTCAGATCACTCTAATATCTGCATGGCTAAGAAATCAAAGCAGGTAATTTGTGTCCTCAGTGCACAGTGAATAGCTGAATTCCAAAGTCCAGGACTATCTGAAATGTCAAAGATTCTGAACCAAGAAACAAACTATTGTTGTACAAACATGACTAGATGAAAAAGCTTGTTTCAGTTATGTATTATCTCACTATATTTTTCCCAAGATAGGATGTGATTAAACATTTAGAGACACTGGTGTTAAAAAGTGTACATAGGTGTCTTGATGCATTTCAGTGAGGTACATGACTCAGTTTTCATTTGAGGTCTTGCATCTTCTTCAGAAGCAGTATTTAAAATTATATGGCCTACAGAGATTCAAGAAACATTTAAAGATTAAACTCTTTAGTGCATGTGTAATATCCAAATTACAATCTTTTTTCTATATTTCACTTCATTAAAATTAATCAAAATAGTTTACAATGCAGTACTTGTGAATTTAAATGTAAAAAGAAAGAAAAAGAAAAACAAGACTGCTTTTCTTTTTGCTCTGATGTAGTTTTTCAAATGATCTGTACACCAGTCTTAACTTCTGTTAAGATTTTTATAATTCACTAATGCCAGGTATTCTCGGACTTACTGGTGACACTGGTACATGTGTATCCACTGCTCTCCACTCTTCAAATGCAGTGTACAGAGTGAAGGAGTATTTAGCTCCAGGAGAAAAAGATGAGTGTGTGTGTCACTACAGAATCTCCCTCTGATCCACTGATGTTGATATTTATTCCATTGTAGTCTGTCAGTCTGTAACTGTAAAAGTTGTTCACTTTGTTCCATTCTAATGTTAATGCAGTCTCACTGCGATACCTTACAAACACACTGTCAACATTTGATGGAGCTGAAAGAGAGAGAGAGAGAGAGAGAGAAAGAAAGAGAGTGAAAAAGGCAAGTTTGAAAAAGGGCAAATCACCCAATTGTCTCTTAAAATAACAGCTTATCATCCATCTTATCATTAATTCATGCTTAATCAAAAAAAGTTTATAAATGTAAAAGACTAATAATTATTCTGTTTGATAAATTTGAAACATGGGAAACATTTTATTTACTCTAATTAGCTTTAAAAAAAACAAACAAACAAACAAACAAAAACCTTTGTTTAAAGACTGGCAGATTTTTATTTAAATTCAATAAAGCCCACTAGAATAGTGGCCACACTTACTGGTGACACTGGTAAAGTTGTATCCACTGCTCTCCACTCCTTCCAATATAGTGTACAGAGTGAAGGAGTATTTAGTTCCAGGAGAAAGAGAGGAGACTGTGTGTGTCACTACAGAAACTCCCTCTGATCCACTGATGCTGATGTTTATTCCATTGTAGTCTGTCAGTCTGTAACTGTAAATGTTGTTGTTGTTCACTTTGTTCCATTCTATTGTTAATGCAGTCTCACTGCGACTCTTTACAGATACCCTGTCAACATTGGATGGAGCTGAAAGAGAGAGAGAGAGAGAGAGAGAGAAAGAAAGAGAGTGAAAGAGAGAAGCTTGAAAGAGAGCAAAACACCCAATTGTCTCTTAAAATAACAGCATATCATCCATCTTATATTAATTCATGCTTAATCAAAAAAAGTTTGTAAATGTAAAAGACAAATGATTATTCTGTTTGATAAATTTTAAAAATAGGAAGCCTTTTCATTTTCTTATTTAAAGACTGGCAATGTAAGAGAGAAATGTGTAAGAGGGCAAAACACCCAATTGTCTTTTAAAATAACAGCATATCATACATCTTATCATACATTCATTCATGCTTAACCAAAAAAGTATGTAAATATAAAAGACTAGTGATTATTGTGTTTGACAAATTTGAAAAATGGGAAACATTTTCATTTTCTCTAATTTACACTTTTTTCATTTTTATTTAAATTCAGCTTAGAAACAAGAAACAAGAATACAAAAGTGAAGACTATGGTAAATGTAACAAAGATGTTTGTAAAATATAAAATGTAAAAGGCTGCTGTTGGTTCTTAAAATAAATAAATGAAAAATCATTAAAGATTTTGGTGACATACAGAATTTAAAAAATGAAGACTAAGCTAATTGAAAATGTTTTAAATATAAAAGGTTGATACTCATTCTTTTTCAGTGATTTTCACCATGGCATGGTTGTTGGTTTCAGACGGGCTGGTTTAAGTATTTCTTTCTAGTCACTAGAATTTACTGTGAATGGTACATTAAAGAAAAAACATTCAGTGAGCAGTAGTTCTACGAATGGAAATGCCTTGTTGATGAGAGAGGTTCAAAGGGAATGGCCAGACTGGTTTGAGATGATAGAAGAGCTACGGTAACTCAAAAGGCCACTCTGTACAATTGTGTTGAGAGGAAAAGGATCTCAGAATACAGAACATGTCAAAACCTTGAGGCAGACAGGCTACAACAGCAGACGACCACATCAGGTTCCTCTTCGGTTAGCCAAGAACACTGAGGCATACAGATGGTGGGGTCAGAATTTGGCACTAACAGCATGAATCGATGGACCCAACCTGTCTAGTGTCAAAAGTCAAGGTTGGTGGAGGTTGTGTAATGGTGTGGGGAATATTTCTTAAGCAGGGACGGGGAGCAGCTAAGTAGCGCACTACTTTTTGTAGTAAACTACAAATTTTTGTTGCTAATAGCTGTAGCTGCTACAGTTTTATGAAATGTAGCTAATAGCTGTAGTACCTACAAATTTTTGTGTAGCTGTAGCACTAATTTTCACTACAATTTCGCTACAGACTTCAGGCAATCTGTGAAAAATGAACCATAGAACGCAGACCTTAAAGGGGCTAGTGGCGATTGTGCAATCCTTACTGAGCCGTGGACAGTTTGAGCAAATGGTCACGTGCTGGCCCCACGCACTGATCACCCCTTACTAGTAGGCTTAACTCAGGGCTTGACAACCCAAAATATTAAGAAGAGACATTTTGTCCTTTCAACAAAAATCAAACCACCTTGGGTGCCACAACATTTATGTCCATTTTACCATCTTGGCTGTAAATATGTCTCAGTATATGCTGATGTACTAGTATAGATGAAAAAATATAAACAAAAATGCAGACTTAATTTGCTCTGCTTTAAGTTTTTGTTCAGCTATAGCCACTTCTCTTGCATCTCGGGAAAGTTTTCCGTGAGTTTTCGCAAGAGTTGGTTACACTTAAACTTACTTTTTGGTGATTTTTTTGTGCATTTGCAGCTTTTTGTTGTGTGTTTCTTTCTGGCACAGGATTAACTGCAGTGTCTTGTTCACACTTTCAGTTGGGCTTGTTTAGTGTGTCAGGTGGAGATACACAAACTTTCTCACAATCACGCTTTGAAAGTAGCTAAAAAGTAGCCACTACTTTTCCTGGAAAAGTAGCTAAATTGTAGCTACCTACAAATTTTGGGAAAGTAGCTACAAAGTAGCTAACTACAAATTTTTGAGTAGCTATCCCAACCCTGTTCTTAAGTCACTTTGGACCTGTTAATAGCGATCAATCATTGTTTGAATGCCACAACCTATTTGAGTACTGTTGCTGACCATGTACATCTCTTCATGGCCACAATTAACCCATCCTCTCATGGCTACTTCCAGCATGATAATGCACCATGTCACAAGGCAAAAGTCATTAGTGGATAACTTGTGATAAATAAAATTCAGGGAACTTTCTGGAACGTACCATTTAAAAGTTGTATTTGAATAAGAGGACAACAGTCACAGTCATTAATGGTTTGAAGAGTCAAACTAGGAAAATGTGTTAATGCCATAAGAAAAGTAGTGGCATTGCATTAATCATTTATCCCCTTTACATATGTACATATTAACCTTGGCACCACTAGACATAACACGAAACAAGATATAAAAAATTTGACACCACTTGAAATAACACTTAAATATTCTTCTTAAATATGCAGATATTTCCTGGTTTACTTTTCTGTGTGTTAAAAACAAAACTAAACTAGCAAGGATTGAACACAAGGGAGGACAAATTAATGATGCAATAAAATGATAAAAATAAAATACAATAAGTGTGACTTTCTGAATTGTCTTTCTCTCTTACTGACTGAGAGCACTAACAGCAAGTGTCAACATCTTTAAATCACGATTCTGAAGACAGTTAATGTTGTCCACAGGTTTAATGACGTTGGAAGTTGTGAAACTACGAATAAAACATACATCTCTAATTAGTTGAGTGTTCTAATCATTGACAATTACATGAATAAGCTGCTCCCTGTAACACTGAATAGCTAGGCTAACGTTATCAGTGCATGATAGAAGCTTGCTTGCAGATGCTATATTCAACTAAGCAAAATAGCAAAGAATCAGCATAAACTCAACAAATATCTAAACATAAGTAAGGGTAAACATTATAGTAAGAATATACATACAGACGATGCCACGAAAGACAACAGATGATAGCAGATGCGAACAGATTGTGGAGAAGTCTATCAGCATGTAACTGAACAATAAACACACTTCCTGGTTCCTTTACTTCCTGTGTGATGACACCAGAACCTGTATGCCAAAATCCGCCACTAGGTGGTAGGAAAACGCTACATGTAACAGGCTGTTACAGCACACTCCCCGTCTGGCATTACTAAATGCCATTCGAATTACACAAGAACTAGAGAATAATAGGTCCTAGTGAGCAGGTAGAAGAAGAATTAATTCTGACAACGGTCTCTGATACAGTTTAGTCCCACCCTGACGGGAGACCTTAATCTCAGCTTTGCGAACATTATTATCCTTGCTGGGAAAGACCTGGGTGACAATTCCCAAGGGCCATTCATTCCTTTCCAGCTGCTGATCTTTGAGAAGTACCATGCTTCCAGGCTCAATGTTAGGCTGAGTGGATTGCCATTTCCTCCTCGGCTGCAAAGAAGAAAGGTAATGCTTCCACCATCTGCTCCAGAAAGTTTGAGCCAGGTGCTGTACTTGGCGCCATTGTCGTTTGAAAAGGTCTTTGGTTCCAGAGTCGTCAGAAGGAGCTGAAGGGACACTTACTTTCTGAGTCAGGAGAGTAGTGGGCGTAAGTATGACTGGATCATCTGGGTCTGTACTCACAGGTATGAGAGGCCTGGCGTTGATTATGGCAGCCACTTCTGCCATCAGAGTGGTAAGTACTTTGTGCATTAGCTTTGAGTTCCCCAGTTAGAGAAACATTGAGTTGAGGATTCTTTTAGCAATTCCTATCATCCTCTCCCATGAACCGCCCATGTGAGGAGCGTGGGGAGGGTTGAATAGCCAGGAACAGCCTCTTCCTGCAAGGTACCTCTTGACAGAAACTAATTCGATGTTTGATGGGATCTTGAGTTCAGCAGATGCCCCAACAAAGTTTGTTCCTCTGTCCGAACGGATCTGCTTCACTGGACCTCTTACAGCGAGGAAGTGGCGGAGAGCGTTAATGAAGCTTGACGTGTCAAGAGATTCGATGACCTCTATGTGAACTGCTCTCACAGCCATGCAGGTGAATATCACTGCCCATCTTTTGCTGTGGGCTAAACCGCTTCTTGTCTGACGTGCAGCAATGTCCCATGGACCAAACACATCGCAGCCCACATTAGTGAAAGGAGGTTCCATGGATAGACGGTCAGCCAGCAGATAAGCCATCTTCTGCATCTCAGGTCTGCCGCGGAGTTTGCGACAGGTAACACAATTGTGGATAATGCTGCTCACATGTCTCTTCACACAAGTGCCATCCTCTACAGCTGTTGCCTCCTTTATCTGGGTTGCTGTGGTAGCTGTGAGAGATATGACTGACATTGCTAAGTGCACGATTTAGAGACCGCCATGTGGAAAACCTGGAGAAATGCTGGGATCCAAGTTGTTGAAGAGCAGCCTGTGTGTTGAGAGTGGAGACTTGAGGACGGACTTTAGCATCTGTATTATGGGTCAACAAGCTCAAAAGGTGTCCAGTCCGAGAGATTCTCTGGAAGCTTGCGTCAGGAAAGTGGGTCCAGTGAGCCATGTGGTATCCAAAAGACGAGCAGCAGTGACTGACCTGGTTGCATGGTCCGCAGGGTTTTGATCCGTGGATACATAATTCCACTGCCGTGGATGAGAGGACCTTCTTATGCGTGTAACTCTATTACTCACATATACATAGAAACATCTCGTCTCATTGTATATATATCCTAGCACTACTTTGCTATCCATGTAGAAGGTCGTAACATCTATGTGCATATCAAGCTCAGACAAGATGAGATCTGCCAACTCCACCGCCAGCACAGCAGCGCAGAGCTCCAACCTAGGGACTGTGTGTTCAGGCCGGGGAGCCAGCTTCACTTTGCCCATAACGAACCCTGTGTGAGAATTCCCGCTTTCTTCAATCACTGTCAGGTAAGCAACCGCTGCTATTGCCTTTGTTGATGCAACTGAAAACACACTCAGCTCTCTTCTCTTGGCCTCAGAGGGAGAAGCTTTGGTATAGGGTCTCAAAATATGCAGGTGACTGAGGTCCTTTAAAGAGTCTTTCCAGGATGTCCACTGGTCTAACATCTCCTCTGGCAATGGGGAATCCCAGTCACATTTCTCTTGCATAAGCTCTCTCAGAATGTGTTTGCCTTGAATTGTGATGGGAGCAATGAAGCCAAGAGGGTCATACACTCCATTTACCACTGACAGTGAGAAGGGCTTCTCTTCAATATCAACCTATCTTTATCAAGATAAACCTGTCAGTCTTCCGATCCCAATTAAGGTGCAGGCTGCGCTGTACCATAGGAGTATCTGAGCCAAGTCTTTCAGGTCATCAGCACGATCTTGAGGTAGGAAGGCATCCATTACCTTTTTGCTGTTAGAGGCAATTTTTTGCATTCTCAGGTTGGACTTTGCAAGAACATCCTGTGTCCTTTTCAGCAGACTTACTATGCCTTCAGCAGTGGGGAGTGACTTTAGCCCGTCGTCAACATAAAAGTCACGGTTAACGAACTGCTCCACCCCAGGGTCATAGTGTGGTTCTCCATCTTTCACGGACTCTCTTAGGCAGTGGATGGCAACTGCTGGACTGGGACCGTTCCCAAAGACATGCACAGTCATACAATACTCAATAACATCTTGAGCAGAATCATTGTCTTGGAACCATAGGAAACGTAAGAAGTTCCTGTCTTGTTCCCATACACGGAAGCAGTAGAACATCTGCTTAATATCTGCCGTCGCAGCAACAGCTTCTTTGCGGAATCTGATGAGGACACCCAAGAGCGTGTTATTGAGGTCGGGCCCCTTCAAGAGGACATCATTGAGAGAAACCCCACCATACTGGGCGCTGGAATCAAACACAACACGGATTTTACCAGGCTTTTTTGGATGGTACATGCCAAAGGTAGGTAGATACCACTGTTCCTCATTTTCCTTGAGTGGAGGGGCAACCTCAGCATGTCCATCCTCTAATATCTTTCCCATGAATGAGAAAAAGTGTTTACTCATATCTGGCTTCCTCTCAAGATTTCGTTTGAGAGAGAAGAAGTGGTTAAAAGCCTGAGATTTGTTATCAGGAAGCCACAGTCTTGGACGCCTGAAAGACAAACAAGCTATCCAGCCATCCAGCTATTGCCATCATCCTTTTTTAGGTCCTGTTCCATTATTGCCATGAAAGTGAGGTCATTAATGGATGGAGCCTTCTTGTTATCATTGCCTGTCAGCTGGAACACATTACAGCCTAAGCCATCACCTTCACAGGTAAGTGTTTCTCCAAGGCATGCATTAACAGACTGTGAAGATTTGGGGCAGAATTTCTCCTTCACATTGAGGATACTAGAACAGGTTTTGAAGAGAGTAGGACGATCTTGTTCTAGGGCATTTGTGAAGAGGGTGGTCACACGTAGTGGCTTGTGAGCATTCCTCAAACAGACCACCCTAGATCGAGCTTCTGGGCATAGGGAGCATCTGGTGGACCATTTACATGCTTACAAACCTTGTGGAGTCTGATGACATCACAGCCAAGCAGAAGCATGATGGGACACATTGGGCTTCAGTTCTGAAATGAGGTGAGCTATTGGCTTCAGGTGGGAATAGAAGGAGGCAGCACTGGGCATTGGAATCTCCGCTCTATTGTCTGGTATCTCATTGCATTCCAGCAATCTTGGTAAACGTTGAATGGTTTTACCATCTACTGACTCAATGTAGAAGCCAGAGGTTGCCCTGCCCATATACTCACTCACACCTGAGCAGGTTTTCAGAGTGTATGATGAAGTGGGGCCTTGCATGTTGAATGTGTCAAAGAAGTCAGAGCGAGCCAAAGACTTATTGCTTTGTTCATCCAAGATAACATATACTTTCATCACCTGGTCACGGCATCCTTCAGGATACACTTTGGCAGGATACACTAGGATCTTTGAGCAGGACCTGTCTGTAATATCTCCTCCACAAACCTGTGTGCACTGATTAGTGACCTCTGGTGATTGTGTAGACTTTGGCTCCCCGCCATGCTCTGAGGAGGGGTGTGTATCTTTGCCCCACAGCGGTGGTCCTGGATGGAGAACAGAAGGGTGCAGACCACTATCACATTCAGTGCACCTTATAGTGCGTTGGCATTCTTTGGCAGTGTGTGCTGTGGAGATGCAACACTTAAAACAGATACCATTCTTTTTCAGAATGCTGGTAAAGAAAGGCAACAAAAGCAACAAAGACAGAAAAAGGAGGAAATGCAGCTGCATTGATGTTGTTGTTTATAGCTGGATCCATGGGACTGCCACTTTTCCTGTAAGCCATATGGAAGCTTTTGAACTATGGGGTTGACACCTCTGGCTGTGTCGAGATAGGAAAGGCCAGGAAGATCTTCCTCTGCTTTACCGGCATCCAACTCCATGAACAAGTCATTAAGATCCCTCAGTTTTGAGTAATCTTTGTTGCTGATTCTGAGGAAACTGTCTAGTTTCTGGAACAGAGCTTTCTCGATTACCTCTGCCGAGCCATAGCATTCATCCAGTCTGCTCCATATCATCTTCAGCCACTTTGCTGGCTGGTTTATATGTATGGATCTTATGCGCTCTGCATGCTCAGCAGACTCTTTTCCAAGCCATTTGACAAGATCCATTTCTTCAGTACGTCAGATCCAAACCTCTTACTGCATTCAGGAAAGAACGCCTCCAAGCCCTGTAGCTCTCTGGCTGATCATTAAATTGAAGCAGACCAGTAGTGATGAGTTTACGTCGTGCTAGAAATCTCACAAAGTCTGTCATGTGGGAATCAGCAGCATGAGTGGGCTGTTGCATGTAACTGTGAGAGTGAAAAGACCTAGCATTGGTGTTGGTATGTGGAGAATGAAGTATTGATTGGCTCTTTGGACAGGACGGAAGACATTCCTCCTCATTTTTGAACGTAACACTGTGAAGAGGCTGGCTGAACTGGGTTGGAGTGCAATCCACGTTTGAGATAAGGAAAGGGTTCGGAGACTCCTGTTTACTTGGGGTGTGGGAGAAGTCATGAGTATTTGCAGCAGGCGGAATAACACTTTCAGGGTTGTATACCGGCTTGACCATAGATGGCTGT